AGAAATATACAGAATATTTTACAAACTGCAACAAATTATTATTTATTATTACTGAAAAGTTATTAATTATTAATTCGTTGATATAATTATTAGAAATATATGCACGAATAAATTTGTCCCTGCATAAAATATTCTTCGTATAATTTTGCTTTCCATCTGTCTCTTATTTGAAACAATGTTCTTCAGTGTCCTCTTTACAACGAATAAGCATGAAAATTGAAGTTATTTTCGCTTGTGAGTCCATTCGCAAGTAGCACATCAAAGTTGTTCCGTCAAAGGACCACAGTAATGAAAGCACTATTTGAAATAGATTTTTCGAAATTTTTTTTCTCGCGATGCCAGTCATTAAATAGAGAACAAAGAAGAAATGCCAAAACTTTGTACTTGTTCGAAGTAATATTGCGATATATTTAAAATGATACTAACACGTAAACTAATGTAGCGTTACGATTAACTTTGAACGGCAAGAGTATATTTCATAGAAGAAAATGACAAAGGAATAATTCCATCTTTCCAACTTAACTTGATTCCCATTTCATTTCTCTTTGCTTTGCTTCTGTTTCCCTCGTCTTAATATCATAAAATATAACATTAATTATTATTATTATTATAAGTAATTTCTTATTAACAATAATCGATTATATACAAATTGTAACAATTTCAAAGAACAGGAGATATTCTACAATTTCCTCACGACCATTTCTAATTTTGTAAGTAGGTAAAAAAAACTTCGAAACTGTACCGAGTGTCTTCGAAAAGAAACACTATAATTGAAATGTATTTTCTAATAATCACCAAACTTTTATACGCGACTCGTGGTCAATCGACCGGGAGGTGATTCTATGTGCAAAAACGTGCAAACGAAAAGAAACAACAATAACATTTACTTCTATTAAAGCCTTCGTTTCCGAGAGGATTCAGAAATTTAAAAAAAAAGTTACGACTGAAACTCTCGACGCGATTCGCTGAATTCGCTTTCATTTTGCCTTCCCGTGCCAAAGTTTTCCGCGATTTATGATATTCGTAAGATCCATAGTTCGTTGCAACAGAGACGACGATCAATTATTAAGTGTCATAAATTGTATCAAAAAGTCGGCGAAGGAAGAAGCAGAGTTTTTCGCAGGGCTGGAAGGGCCTGCGCGAAAGCTGTTTAAAAGTTTTAATTGGAAACGCTTTTGAATATCCGTCGGTATGAAAACGTTTCGCCACTTATTGGCCAACTTGGAGGGCCTTCGGTAAATGCGCTCGGCTACATACATACGCCGTTATGCATAGTAAGTTCCCGGCGTGCACCGCGTATTCGCGCATTCGCAGGCGGCGCAACAATGAAACAAGTTTCGAGCACTTATCATGAAAGCACCGATTTTCGCAATAATCTGATTAATTGACTGCCACTTTATGGCTAGCCGGCACGATATGTTTCAAAGGGACAATACGCGTCCGAAACCGCAACGATCTGGCGAGAACGTTCCGAGCTCGATTCTTCGGGAACATAGAGTGCCTTC